AAGGGTGGGAAAAAACCACGAGCGAGCCGCGAGACGCCCCCTCCGTCTTGGGGTGACCCAGCCAGGCTCGCTGCAAGCCCCGCGCTCCAGGTAGGGGTTTCGCAGGGAGGGACTGCGTGTGTCTGTGCGGGGTGGTCGTTCGGTATTTTTATTTCTGAAAATGTGTACTTATTCTACAATTGAAAAAATAAAAATGTCCAGGTTCACCAAAGCTGCCGTGTAAAAACAGCTAGGTACCAGAACTAAAGTTCTGGAAAGAGTATTTTGGCTTTTGCCTTACTTAGAGTTTATTTCATTATTTTAAATGTAAACATGGAAGTGTTTTACTTTTTTTTTAAAGAAGCTTTTATAGAAGCAATAGACCTTGAATTTTACTCTGCTACACTGCTGTGGAAATTGGGTGCAGAGTAGGTAGTTTAAAGATGAATATTTCTATGGTAATTGGGCTTTTCTTCAAAACTGCTTTATTCCAGTAGGATGTAACTTGAGGGAAGAGGGGGAGGGAGTATACAGAAATAATCAAATTTCAGCAGCTCATCAAGGTCAGCTGCAATTTGATCCTGTGTTTTTGTATTCTGCCTTTGAAAATGAATTCTGTATTTTAGTGTATATTGTTACAAGTGAGAAATTGCTTAGCTGGTTTGTGGAGAAACCTGCATGACCCTTTTCCAAATAGTTTTGAAATAAATTAGGGAAATTGAAATGTAATTTTAGTTATATCAGTTTCCAGAGACCCCCAAACTCCCCCACTCTTTACCCCCAAAGATGTATGACAAGTATTCCCATGAGGACCTTCTCCTTTCAAAGACTGGCAGTGATGCTTCATGTCTTTATCCTTAAAGAACATAAATGACCAAATTCAAAACTAAAGACATCTTTATTTGCAGTATAAAAGTATCGACAGACACTATTTAAATCAAGAAAAGTTTCTATGACTGGAAAACATTAGGCTGCATCTCACTTCTTTTGTCGTTTTGATGCCTGTTTACTATGTATCAGGCTCTGTGCTCGTGGGCACTAGGGGTAAAAAAAGCCAGATAAATCAAAGTTTTTTCCCTGGAGGAATTTACAGAGAAGAGAAGCTGATATGAAGGGGTGGAGGATTGCGCCAGGCAAGTCAGTCCAGTATTTTAGAACAGTGTGATGTTTAGATCTACACACGAGATGCCCTTGGAGCAGTGAGAAGGGACAGCTACCAATTAATGAGTCATTCTGTATTTGCCAAGCCATTCCTTTTGCCTCTTCAATATGTCGTCTCATGGAAGAACATGATATTGGAAAGCCAGAAGTGATTCTTCAGCTCTGGTCGGTGTTCAGTATCTTGCAAGTCTCCAATCAGATGCTATATCTTGAAAGTCGCCAGTCAGAATTCTTAATTCCTTTATATGATACAAGATTAAATGGGTTTATGAGATTATAAAATAGATATAGTAATGAACATTCTAAACTAATAATTGGACTTCTGTCCTGAACGTCTAAATATTTATTTATATCGTATACCAATCAATTGCATTAAGTTGCAGATTCTATGGAGTAAAAGACTCCAGCTGCTCAGACATGTGATTGAGGATGCTGAGAAATGAAAGCAGAAAGAAAGAAGAGACAGATGTCCATCCCCAACCATAGTTCCAGCTCTTTTGGGCAATGGTCAGCAAGGAATAGGAAAGATGCTGTCTATCATTCCGCATGAATCAACCCTGGCATTTACCTGCAACCTATTTTAGACCCTGTGGTTTTTTAGATGCTTCAGATTGAATGCCTTGGAACTGCTGGTGAAAAAGTGAGTTGTGGTTCATAAGACTACAGATACATTTAATCTAGAAAGTGAATGCAAGGGCAAATTGCTAATGTGTTTGGAAGCTTTGCTTCATGGCAAAAATCCACTGTTTTCAAATGTATAAGCATTGGAAAGTCGGGATGATGTGCATTGATTCTAAAGAGTTGGGATGATGTGTATCGACTGGAGAGCAGGGATGATGGGCATCGATTCTGGAGAGCTGGAATGATGGGCACCAAGTCTGGGGAGCTGGGATGATGGGCATTGATTCTGGAGAGTTAGGATATTGTGCATCCATTCTGGAGAGCTGGGGCAATGTGCATCGATACTGGGGATTTGGGATGATGGGTATCGATTGTGGCAAGCTGGGATGATAGGAATAGATACTGGGGAGCTGGAGTAATAGGCATAGATTCTGGAAAGTTGGAATGATGGGCATCAATTCAGTAGAGCTGGGATGATGGGCATCGATTCTATAGAACTGGGATGATGGGCATCGATTCTATGGAGCTGGGATGATGGGCATCGATTCTGGGGAGTTAAAATGGGCATCAGTTCCCTAGCGCTGGATGATGTGCATTGATTCTAGGGTGTTGGTATAATGGGCATTGATTCCGGGGAGTTGGGATGATAGGCATCAGTTATAGAGAACTAGGATGATGGGCACTGATTCTGGAGAGTTGGTATGATGCACATTGATTTGGGAGAGTTAGGATGGGCATTGGCTCTACAGAGTTGGGATGATGGGCATCGATTATGGAGAGTGAGTTTGGTGATGGGCATCAATTCTGGAGAGTGAGTTTGGGTGATGGGCATCGATTCTGGAGAGTTGGGATCATGGGCATTGATTCTGGGGAGTTGGTATAATGGGCATTGATTCTGGGTAGTTGGGATGATCGGCATCAGTTATAGAAAACTGGGATGATGGGCATTGATTCTAGAGAGTTGGGATGATACACATTGATTCTGGAGAGTTAGGATTATGAGCATCAATTCTGGAGAGTGAATTTGGGTGATGGGCTTTGATTCTGTGGCGCTGGGAAGATGTGAATTGATTCTAGAAAGTTGGGATGATGGGCATCAATTATAGAGAACTGTGATGAAGGGCATTGATTCTAGAGAGTTGGGATGATGCACATTGATTCTGGAGAGTTAGGATAATGGGCATCAATTCTGGAAAGTGAGTTTGGGTGATGGGCATTGATTCTGGGGAGCTGGGAAGATGTGCATTGATTCTAGAAAGTTGGGATGATGGGCATTCATTCTGGAGATGGGATATGTGCATTGATTCTGTAGAGCTGGAATGATGGGCATCGATTCTGGGGAGGTGGATGATGGGCATCGACTCTAGAGAGCCGGGATGTTGGGCACCAATTTGGGGGAGTTGGGATGATGTGCATCTATTCTAAAGAGCTGGGATGATGTGCATTGATTCTGGGTAGTTGGATGACAGGCATCAATTCTGGAGAGCTGGGATGATGGGCATTGATTCTGGAGAGCTGGGATGATGGGCATTGATTCTAGAAGCTGGAAAGATGGGCATTGATTCTGGGGAGTTGGGATCATGTACATCGATTCTGAAGAGTTGGGGTGATGTACATCAAGTCTGGAGAGTGGGATGATGTGATCAATTCTGAGGAATTGGTGTAATGGGCATCTGTTCTGGGTAGTTGGAATCATGGGCATCGATTATGGAGAACTGGGATGATGGGCATTGATTCTGGAGAGTTGGAATGATACACATTGATTCTGGAAAATTGGGATGATGGGCATCAATTCTGGAGAGTTGAAATTATGGGCATCGATTCTGGAGAGTGAGTTTGGTGGTGGGCATCAATTCTGGGGAGCTGGGATGATGGGCATTGATTCTGGAGATGGGATGATGTGTGTTGATTCTGTAGAGCTAGGATATGGGCATCAATACTGGGGAGTTGGGATGATGGCATTAATTCTGGAGAGCTGGGGTGATGGGCATCAGTTCTAGAGAGCTGGGATGATGGGCACTGATTCTGGAGAGCTGAGATAATGAGCATCGATTCTGGAGAGTTGGGGTGATGTGGATCAATTCTGGAGAGCTGGGATGATGCACATCGATTCTGGGAAGTTGGTGTAATGGGCATCGATTATAGAGAGTTAGGATGATGGGCATTGATTCTGGAGAGGTGAGATAATGGGCATAAATTCTGGGGAGTTGGGATGATAGGTATTGATTCTGGGGAGTTGGGATGATGGCCATCAATTCTAGAGAATTGGGATGGTGGGCATTGATTCCAGAGAGTTGAGATAATGGACATCAATTCTGGAGATTGAGCTTGGGTGATGGGCATCGATTCTAGGGAACTTGGATAATGGGCATCGATCTGGGGAGTTGGGATGATGTACATTGAATCTCCAGAGTGAGTTGGGATGATGTGCATCAATTCTGCTTCTGGATTCTGAAAAGAAAGATGGTAACAAAAATACCACAGTGTTAGTACCAAACTCCCAGGAAGCTGTCATCCACTTTATTGACTAAATGAAATTTTTGGAACACAGAATGGCAAATTTTAATTCCTAAAATCCTTTAATGCTAAAAACAGTAGCATTAAAATCATGTTTTTTAAAAAACAATTTTGCCAGCCGGGCTCGGTGGCTCAGCCTGTAATCCCGCGCCTTTGGGAGGCTGAGGTGAGTGGATTTCCTGAGCCCGCGAGTTTGAGACCCACCTGGGCAGTGAGACCTCATCTCTACAATAAATCAAAAAATCAGCTGGGCGTGGTAGCACATGCCTGTAATTCCGGTTACTCGGAAGGCTGAAGCGGAAGGATTGCCCGAGCCCAGCAGGCGAGGCTGCGGTGGCCGGGAGCAGCCACTACACTCCAGTCTGTGTGACCGAGTGAGACTCCAACTCAAAAAAAAAAAAAAAACAATTTTGCCAATTGACAAAAACATCACAATTTTTTTTTATTTCCCTCAATAGTATCAAGAGAACCTGTTCTATCAATCACTGAAGACATCAGGAACATTTTTGAAAAATTAAATCTGCACACAATGAGGTAAGTACCAGTGGGTTTTTTTTTGTTGTTGTTTGGTTGGTTGGTTGTTTTGGTTTTTTAAAATTGTGGTATCATCTTAACCATTTTAAGCATACAGTTCAGTAGCATTGCCTATTTTCACATTGTTGTTCAACAATTGGATGTTGTCCATCCAATATCCAGAACATTTCATCTTGCAAAACTGAAACCTTATAGCTGCTAAACAACAACCCTCCCTTTGCCCCTAGCCTCGGCCCCTACAACCACTGTTCTTCTTTCTGTTTCTATGAATCTCACTACCCTAGATGCCACCTTATAATTGGAATCCTACAGTATTTGTCTTTTTGTTGCTTAGTTCACTTAGCATAATGTCCTCAAGATCAGTCTTTGTCATGGCATGTATCAGAATTCTCTCTTTAAAAAAAAATGGATAATAATATTCCATTGCACCTGTATGTCACGTTTAATGAATGGATTATCTTTTTAGTTGTCAGTGGACACTTGGGTTGCTTCAGTCTTTTGGTTGCTGTAAATAATACTACAGTAAATACGGGTGAAGTGCCTGTGCTTGTATCTGAAAAAAATGATTTCCTACAGAGGTGATTTTATTTCCTTAGAAACAAGTTTTTACTTGAGCCAGAGTCCTAGAAAATACCGTAAGACCTCTTTTAGGTCCCTGGAAATAGTAGTCCAAATTATAGAATGAAGTCAATACCCATAAAATTGAATATTCTTGTAGAATAGAGCAAAGCTGGAAACAGACTATGTAGAAGACACAGAAAATACCAGGTGGCTCAAGTGTGAGAGTCAGAAGTTTGACTCTGACCCAACATTCTTTCTGTGGTTCAGGTTCAGGAAGTCATTTAATACTGTATGCTAAATCTGTGAAATGGGCGGATATATTCTATTTCCTCTCTCTCTCTCTCTCTCTCTCTCTCTCTCTCTCTCTCTCTCTCTCTCTCTCTCTCTCTTTTTTTTTAAGTTAGAGTCTTACTCTGTCACCCAGACTGGAGTGCAGTGGCTCCATCATGACTCACCTCAGCCTTGACCTCCTGGGCTCAGGTGATCCTTCTACCTCAGCCTCCCAAGTATCTGGGACTACAAGCATGTGCCACCATGCCTGGCTAATTTTTTGTGTTCTTTTTTTTTTGTAGTGTCGAGGTCTTGCTGTATTGCCCAGGCTGGTCTCAAACTCCTGGGCTCAATCAAGTCTCCCACCTCGGCCTACCAAACTGCTGGGATTACTGGCGTAAGCCACTGTGCCCGGCCCTTATTTCCCCTCTTTCTAAGGACTCTAACATTATTAATTAAAGGTATGTAACAGGAAGGGAGAGTAGCTCTAACAACTCTCATTACTACTGCTAAGCTCTGTGAGTGCATGGCCCGGGTCTGTCTGCCCTCACCATCCCCAGGTCCTCACAGCACTAGGTATGTGGGAAGTACCTGTCAACAGTTGCTGGCTGAAAGACCACCCTGGATATTGACCTTCCCCTACTAAAGTGAGAAAGCTCACGTGAATTGGGATTGCTTCATCTAAAAATACTGATGTCATCATTCATATGTATGAAATCCGGCTATCTTAGAAAAGTGATTTTTAGGATGTGCGTTTCTTCCTGAAAATTGACATTGAGTAAAAGGGAGCATATCCCATGGAATGCTACCAGATGAAACAGACAGAGGTTCAGATACAGAGCTCCTTCCCCCTGGAATGGTAAAAGTGAAACATTTGCAGATGTACTTGGTTTCTTTTTGACCCATTTCTGAAACTAATCTTGCCTGACACTTTGCTGAGCTAAAAAAGCTTTTCTATTTCTAGACTTTTCTCTCAGGCTGCATTGACTTCTTGGATCCTGTGAGTCATGGATGTTTCTCTTAGGAACAAGACCAGTGTCACTCCTGCCCTGATGTATGTCCACAGGACTGGTCATCTCCAAACATCATCATCATCATCACCCATAGCTGCAATTAATCGACTATTCCAGGAGAAAGGTGCAAGACTAGAGAGAATTCTAGAGCACAATTCAAACCTGCACATTCTGAGAGTAGAAGGAACCTCATTGCCTGCCTCAATAGCAAAGTATCGGATTGAAGGAAGCAGATGGTGCTTTCAAAAGGCTTTATACATAATATTTATATGTTGCTTCCCTGTAAATCAAGGATAATAAAACAAGCTCTACTGAATTCATAGTAGCTGTCTGAAGAAGTGTTGAGAAGGAATAGGGTCCTTTGAGCTGTGGATGGGGGGGCAGGGAAGGAAAGCTAGAAAATGCCAGCACCAGTGAGCAGCTTTTGCTGTGGATAAGAGGGCAGGACTCGGGAGGAAATAGAGACACAGGTGCTTTGAGTCTGGTATACCCCACCCCCTCACCCCCCCCACCCGTTATACATGCTGCACCTGCAGTTGTTCTAACCTGATTTACATGCACATAAATGGCTCACTCAACCTGGTACCGGGAAAGGGATTGGATGCTTAATGCAGGCAGAGCAGTGATGCTTTCCTCACAGCTTGCAGCAAGAAATGGCCTGTTACAGTAGCATCTGTTTATTCAAATGTGATATTGAAGTCCATGTAGCTACTTCTCAACACAATTTAACAATTCTGTTTCAGAACTGTTGTCTAAAAAATGTGGTAAGCCTGAGTGCGGTGGCTCATGCCTGGAATCCCAGCACCTTGTGAGACCTAGTCCGGAGGATCACTTGAACTCAGGGGTTTGAGACCAGCCTGTGCAATGTAACAAAACCTCAGCTCTACAAAAGAAAATCAAAAAATTAGCTGGGCATGATGGCATGTGCCTATAGTCCCAGCTACTTGGGAGGCTGAGGCTGGAGGGTTGCCTGAGTCCAGAAGGTCAAAGCTGCAGTGAGCTGTGATCATGCCACTTCACTCCAGCCCAGGCAACCGAGTGAGATCCTGACTCAATAAAATAAAATAAATAATAATGTCGTGAGGACTAGGCCTTTTAAATAACAAAGTTCAGTTGGCTTTCAGCAATCATATGTGTAGCCAGCATATTGTCAGTCCAAAAGATGGATTACTTTAATCCTAGCAGCTAGTCCATAGCACAGTTGATCACAACAATAGTCATTTAAATAATCTACTTGTATCACTGTATAACTGGTCATAAATACAGCAGGATTATAAGATGAGTCTGTGACACCCTATGGACTCTTTTACTATTATTATAAATATATTCCTATTTCTCCCTTTCTTACTATATTATTAGCATAAAATAAATTATTGTGATGTTTTAGGCTTGTGAAAAAAACAGGAGTTAAGAAGATCCCCGTGAGAGTAGATGTGCTCTTTAGGAAAAAAAAGGGAGGAGAAATTGTTTAGGAAGGAGAGGCTAGAGCTGGTAGAAGGTAAGAAGAGCTGTGTGATGTTTCTAAATAACAGGGGAAAAGAACGAATTTTCTGAATATGAGTAAAATCCTGAAGTCAAAAATTCTTCCCAGAATGTTATGTAGTACCTGGAAAATACTGGGGAAGAAAAGTGACCTATTGTGTCCTATATTTGGCGTTTTGTGTTTTGTAGTGAACTCTAGTTTATGTTGCTTACAATTTGAATGAAAGAGACTTACTACGGGCAAGAATGAACTGATTTGGGGAGTATTCTGACTTAGTTTTCTTAGAAAGTCGTTTGTCCTGAAGTTTTTGCCACTCTCTGAACCTAAACTAAATTTTCATCTCTCAACTAGGGAAGATTCCTCTGTCTGTTTAAATCAGTATGCTGGCTACCAGATGGAGTAATATAGCTTCTAGTTATTATTACCTCCTAAGCCTCCTTGGTTTACAGGGATGATATTATCCAACAAATGATAGTTTTCCCTCAAGGCAAATCAGCTCATTCACCAAGAGCTTCTGTAGACACAGGAATGTTCAAAGATCTGGGACATCTTTTTTTTTGTCAAATGGCTTGGCCACAGAACCCAAAGTGGAAAGGGTCTGCATGGTCTTTGTTTGAGGTCACTTTTTTTTTTTTTTTTTTTTTTTTGAGTTGGAGTCTCACTCTGTCACCCAGACTGGAGTGCAGTGGCTGCTCCGGGCCACCGCAGCCTCGACCTGCTGGGCGCCGGCAATCCCTCCGCTTCAGCCTTCCAAGTAGCTGGAACTACAGGCATGCGCTACCACGCCCGGCTCATTTTGATTTATTATAGAGATGAGGTCTCACCAAGTTGCCCAGGCGAGTCTCGAACGCGCAGGCTCAGGCAACCCGCTTGCCTCGGCCTCCCAAAGTGCTGGGATTACAGGCTGAGCCACCGAGCCCGGCTTGAGGTCACATTTTATGACTTGCTCTCTGTCACCAGATGGGGGATGACCCAAGTCTTTTATGTAGGGAAAGATTTCTGAGTATTGTCTAGTCTTAAGTGGGCCTTAATTTGCATTTAATTTGTGTTTCCTCTGTTAGCATTTCAGACATACATTGGAGTTTAGAGCAACTTGAATATAAATTCCCCCCTCCATTCAGCTGCAGAGTGTTGAGCACTTGCTGAAAAAAATCCAGACACTGTTCTGGATTATAAAGACTAACAGAAATGGCCCTCATGATACATTCAGACTGTGAGAGGAGCTAGAGACACAGTCAATAGTCATAATACCTGGAAACAAAGGTGTTTCAGCTTGACCAAGTTCTTACACCCGCTGCCCAGAAACACCAAGACTGACACAGCTGTTATAAAAAAGAAAGAGCCGGGCTCGGTGGCTCAGCTGTAATCCCGCGCCATTGGGAGACTGAGGTGAGTGGATTGCCTGAGCCTGCGGGTTCGAGACCCGCATGGGCAGCGAGACCTCATCTCTACAATAAATCAAAAAATCAGCTGGGTGTGGTAGCGCATGCCTGTAATTCTGGCTACTCGGAAGGCTGAGGCGGAAGGATCGCCGGAGCCCAGCAGGTGGAGGCTGCGGTGGCCGGAAGCAGCTACTGCACTCCAGTCTGGGTGACAGAGTAAGACTCCAACTCAAAAAAAAGAAAGAAAGAGTTTAATATCGCAAAGCAGCTGAGCGAGGAGGACAGGAGATA